CTCTCGGTGCCGCGTTATTTATGGCTTCTGTTAACGCGATGCTTTTTACTGGGGATCGTCGCTCTCCGCGCGGCAAGCTGAGCCCCGCGTTCACAGGAACGCTCTGGAGGACGCGGCGTTCCCTCGCAACGCAGGGACTTTATTTTACCGCCATCTAGTGGAAAAAAAGTAAAACTATTCCTAAGGCGCTCCCTCCCGCTCGCCGGGCACCCCGGGCTCCCGCAGCCCCGTTCTGTCGGCTGCACCGCCCGCCCCGAGGCGCCGCTCCGCGCGCGCTCCCGCCGCCCTCAGCCCCGCACCTTCCGCAGCGGGCCCGCGCGCGAGCAGCGGTTGCCACGGCAGCGGGAGCCCCGCCCCGCCGCCCCGTCGCGGCCAATAGCGGCGCTGGGATGCGTCACGTGGGCGAGAGGGCGCCGCCGTGAGGGACCGGCGCGGCGGTGGGCGCTCAAAGGGCGCGGGGCTGCAGCCATGTTCGGGGCTCTGGGGCGCTGCTTCGAGGAGGATCCGTTCTTCCGGTGAGCGTGGGGCCGCCGCGGGCTCCGGGGCCGGGGCTTGCCCGTCCGGTGGGTCTCTGAGGGTCGCGCCGTGGGAGGCGGACGGGCGTGCGGGGCGCGGTTGGCAGCGGTGGGGTTGAAGGCCGGAGCGGCGCTTGGGCGGTGCTGTTCGCTTCCATTGCCTCGCGGCGCCTGAGGAGCTTCGTGGTAATGAGACGTGGCGTCTGCTGAGGAGAAACCGTCTGCTCCTGGGTCTGAATGTCGCGGGGGTTGATTTTTGTGTTTTATTTTTGAGTGTAAGCTTGTTGGACGTGGGGAGCCATGCTGGGTGTTCTCGGTTTCTTGGGCTCTTTAAGATATCTGTATTTAACCACGGGCTGTTCCTCAGCTCCTGTTGTCAGTGTGTGTATTAAAGGCAATTCTAGGTGTTCTTGTGATAAAATAAACCTGTGTGATGTGTGTTAGTGCCAGAAACCTGCCTGGTCTGCAAGGGGAGGGAGTCAAAATGCAATGTGAGAACTCAGAGGAGCACAAATTATTACCTATATTTATATATAAAGCCATTTTTAGCATACGGTGCTTCCTACATGGAGCTTAATCACAAGGAAAGCTCAGGGTGATGTGGGTGGGTGGACGAGGAAGGGTAACATAGGAGCCCTGTGATGTGGGTTTGTTGACTGCATCCCGTAGTTACGGGTTGTCTGAGCTGAGGCTGTGCCCCTTGGAGGCTGTGCCTCTTAAAGGGAACCAGCTCGGCTGCAGCAGCACCTTCCTGGCACTGGTTACTACACAAATATGCAGCTAGAGCAACTCGTTCCAGGATACACCGTGCTAAAGACCGTGCAGATCCTCTGGTTGAAATGGGATTAATGATGGAAGTTGTCTCGTTTGTAGTAATTTGCAGTGTGCTTTTGTAATCCTCTGAAACAACAATTGCCTTCTTGTTTATTCAATTCCATCATTTTATTGTAGCTGTTTTAAAGTTCCTGATGAAGTTAAAATTGGAGGAAAATAGATGGCAGGAGATAGGGGAAGGGAGTGTATGTGAAAGAGATAAGAGGTTGATATTGAGGTTCATTTCCTTGGCACCGTTGTCGTTGATCTGCTTTACATATAGTTAAGGAAATGAGTTTATTACCTCAGATAAGATGAGCTTCCAAGGTAGTGTAATAATAGGCTTCTGCTGCCTCACAAGGAGAGGTTTTGACTGCTGATCTGGAAATAGCATCTGAGAGGGAACATCTCCATCTGGAGCAGCTGTCCTGGAAGTGCCCACCAGGCACCAGCAGGGCTGTGCCTGATGGCTCAGACAGGTGCAGGAGCTGCAGCTCTCCTGCCAAGTGTGTTTAAGTGTATTTCACTTCTCAGTGCACAGCCTTTGTCTTACTGCTCCAGGCCCCATCTTCAGGGTGGTTCTGCAACTTCAGTCCTATGTACCACCCTACTTAAAACAAAAAAGTATTGAATGCAAAGCCCAGTTTTCAAAAATCCCAAAGTGAATTTATTGCTTTAGGATACTGAATTTCAGCCAAACTGGAGCATGTGCTGATGCAAGAAGCAGCAATTGTGCTTTTAGTATGGCACCCTTCAGCTGAAATGTGGATCCTTAAAGTGGTCACTGAAGAACTTACCCAGAGAGATGCATCTTGGGGAGATGCTCGCTAGCACATGTGCTAGCAGCATTCACTGTCATGCTTTTAATATCTATTTCTTCATATCAGCATGCTTATTTGAGACATCAGTGCCCTCAGAGTCTCTGCTTTTGGTTTCCTGTGTTGATCCCTTCAGACACCTGAATGCCAAGTGAAGGTCAGGTGATATTTGAACTAGACAAAAGTGCAGGTTCTGTTACTGTAGTCATGCAATGACAAATGTACTAATTAGTTCTGTTCTGCACTTAATTTGGAAGATGAATTTATGGTGTTTAACATGTCAAGGGCACAGATTCAGCATGTGAAATCCTCACAGAACTGCTTTCCTTTTCAACCATCACCTCTATAATGCAACAGTGCGAAGTGTGCAGAAGTCATGTCAGCCTCATCAGAAGTATCTTTTATTTCTCCCTAAAAAATTCAGATTGAATACCAGGTGACCAGTGGTAACTAAACAAGGTTACTCTATATGTGTTGTAGAACGTGATTGGAACAAAGGACTGAAGATCTTGTATCCTCTGTTGGGGTTATTTTTTTTTTTTCCTTTTTCTAATATATAGATGCTTATATTTTATAAGGGTGTCATACTCCTTTCGTAGTTATGGTTTGAGTTTGGGTCATCAGTGACATCAAGAGGATACATTTAACCCTCTTAGAAGCCTTAGCTTGCAGGGAGATTCTCTGCTGACTTAGCATTGGTTTTGCCCAGCTTCTGTATGCTCAGTACTGCTGCTTTGGATGCCTGGCAACACTGAGCCTTCTTAGAGCTGGCTCCACAATGTCCCTGGAGAGGTGGGAGCTCAGTTCCCAAATCAGTTGCTGCACGGTTTGGATCCTACTTCCTTGTCTGTGGTGGTAAGGAGCTGTGCTGCTAAATTGTTTCATAGAACTTTCTTTGAAAGGTGCAAAAATCCCTAAGCTAGGATGCAGTCATGAGCGTAGCAGTGTGTAGTAGAAGGTGAATGGTCGAGAGGACCAGAGTGAAGTAAGACAAAAAGAATTCAGAAGGTATGACTGTGTTAGGTGACACATCATGATGTGTTATGCACACTAAAAGCAACAGAATTCTTTTTAATCTAAATGAAGCCCATGGAGTCTTGTTTTGCTTGTGTAATTGTGTGACTGCTTCTGAACTGGGACAGGCTGGGGAGGAATCTCACGTTTAAGCTGTTGATGGGATACAGTTCATCCATCTTTGTCCTGGTAACCACACCTATCTCAAGTCTGTGGTGTTGAGACTGTGTGGAAATATGCCTGTGCTGTGATAGGGCCTGCGTGCTTCCCTCATCTTGGCCTGTGCAGTGACTTGTTTGCATCTGTTCTTCATCCTGTGAGCAGCAAGCTCACTGTATGTGAGCTGCTTATCACCTTGGGATTGAAGTTAAAGCTGGCAGTCATGTGAGTGGGGCAGATTAGGGTCTACTTATGGCAGTGGAAAAACTGCTCCTGTGGAATTGTAACGGTCTGTCTGCACTGGAGTGAGCAAGAGCACAGCTTGAAGGGATGCTGTTGGATTAGGAATCTTGTTTGAAAATGAATTAGCTTTGCATTTCTAACTGAATCTCTGTTGATGTTGTTTGTTTGTTTGTTTGAACTTAAATGGGAAAACTAAGTTAGATGCTGCTTTGTAGAAAGAGGAGACTGTAAAGGGCAAAGAGATCAGAGTTGCCAGGAGGTGATGGGTGTGGGATGGGGGGTGAGGGGTGGGCAAGAGGAAAGCAGCTTCAGGAGCTGCTGGGCACTGCGGAGTTGGAGGAACAGCCTGGAAATTTCCTTTGTGGAGGCAGCGATGTCACAGCAAAGTCCTGGAGAGAAGGAGGGCGTGAGACATCTGGGAAATGGCAGGAAATTGGTAGGAAGGGAGATGAGGTGCTACGAAGTCTAAGTAAACATAGCTGGGAAGTGACTGGTGATGTTAATAAAGAGGCTTTCGGTGGAGCAGCAAAGGGGAAAATTAGTCTGGATATGAAGGGAGGAAATGAAATGTTTTCTATATGAAGTAGTCATTTCTGGTGTTTGGGCCAGAGGCAGCAGTGCAATTCATATAACATCATAAGTCATAAGATCTTATGCTTTACTCCTTTTCTGGCCTCTGTTTGAACTTTCTAGTTCTAGGACAAATTAAAGAAAGCAAAGAATTAAGACATTGCTAGTGTTGCTCTCTTATTACTTACCTGCATGCCAAGCCAAGCATTGGAATTACTGGTGGGGTTCTGTTTTGGAGACAGATGTTGAGTGGTTAGAAAGCGGAGAGGAAGGGGGAGACTAACAGGAAAGCAAAGAGGTGGTAAGGATTCTTCCAAAGTGGTGAGAAGGGATGTGAGAATGTAATTTGTGAAGGTGTAGGAATGGGAGGGCAAAAAGGAGCAGTGGTGGGGAATTAAAATAAAAGTGATGGAGTTGGATTGAATTTAGAACACTGTGCTTTGAAGGATGTGGGCCAGGGAGCATGGAAAGTGGTCTTCTTTTACCTCCAATCCCTGATATTTGAATATTAAAAAGTGATGAAGTATAGGTTGGTTCTGTAGCGCTTGGCAGATAGAAAGCCAAACGTGGCTGCCAGTGATGGAGAATTTAGAACAGCTGAGGAAAGAGAAAATCCAGGGTGGACAGACGGTCAAGAACACAGGAGAGCAAGGAAGGCATCTGAGAAGAAGGAGCTAAATCACCCAACCAGAGGGGTGGGAAGGAGGAGCAAAAGGGTAAAAATTACTGCACAGTTGGGTCCCATTAAAATAAAGAACACAGAAATCATATAGAATGATTTTAAAAAAGGGATTTAAGAATTTCAGAGCTGTTTTACGTCAGCTGGAATAGCCCCCCTAACTCTGTGTGTGTGGAATGTCTCTTTCAGCGACCCTTTTGCCGCGCACCATGAATACATGCGGCAGATGATGAGGAGCTTTTCTGATCCTTTTGGCCGAGATCCATTTCTCAGTTTAACAGATGGCAGGGAGAGAACGGCGGATCGAAGAGCACGCCAGGATTCTCAGGTTGCTCTGAGAGGAAATCGCAGAGTAAGTCACTTCTTGATCTCTGAGCACCGCTACGCACGGTTTGCATTTACTGGTAACAGAGCTGGCTTCGTGTTCCCACTCCCACTGAGTTGGTCCAGTGGAAATGGAGCCTGGCTCAACTGCTGCAGCCTTGGTCAGCTCGTTTCGTAGCAGTGAGATGAGAATCTCTCTCTTTATTCCTCACTGGCTCATTGTTTAAGTGTTTGTCAGTGCTAAGCAATAAACACATTGTGCTTTTAGTTCTAACAGAAACAAATGTTCGTGTTAAACATTGAATATACAACGTTTAATGAAATGAACAAGAAGTACAAATATTTATCAAATGCCTGTTAAAATGAACATTATTAAATACTGCTACTGCAGGAAGGTTTTAAGTGTCTGAAGGCAGAGCCTTCTATGGACACTGTTAAAAGTGGATTGAAGCACAACGTGGTGTTTCAGCCACTTGGCAGTACCTGCACAGGTACTGTAAGCCCTGCTTCAGTTTCTTTGGTGTGGATGAGGCTTCTTGTTCTGTGTCTGGTCTGATTCTTAATAAGTTTTCTCTGGATACACTAATTAAAGAGTCGGGGCATTTCAAGGAACCTGGTATTTCTCTAAGCTACTATCTGCAAATGAGAAGTTGGTAACAATCTGTTTTACATAAGGTACCTTTACAGCAGGCTGGGCATGCAGGACAAGTACAGCTTTTACTTCTGCAGCTAAGCTTTATCTGTATTTAGAAAGGATGTACATCTGTTGGCTCCTTTCCTTCCCCCAGCTGAAATACTTTGAACAGTCTCTGCTACAACATAGAGCGCTTGATTCCAAAGAGCAGTTGGAAGACGAAACATCAGAGGGAGTTGTGGAACTGAACTGGGTTTGGTTGTTGTTATTCAAACCTAGGTGTTAAGAGCTTGATAAGCATAGCTGAAACACAGTGTCGCCTGCGTGTCAAAGGGTAACTGCCAGATTCCTTCCTCTACGCTCGTATGGGGCCGGTTAGTTTCAAATATAGATGTTGTTGGATGTAATCAGAGCATGATCTTTTTGTCTGCTGAAGCTGATTGTTAGGCCTTAGTTCAAGAGATGCTGGAAAGCAGCAGGTCTCTTTTCCTTAGTATCCTAGGACAGCTTATGCCTTACTGTTGGTAACAAAGCAATAAGGTAAAGAATACTTCTACCTGTGGTTACAGAAGGGAGTTAAAGGTACAGGAGCACTGTGTTGTTTTGATAAGCACAAAAGAATCCCACACGTGCAAAAATGTTTTCAGTATCTTTTAATGTTCCTCATTTTTCACCTGGGAGGTGTAAGATGTCACAGAAAACTCCGCACTGATTACTTGAGCCTTATGGTTGTCAATGAACTGCTTTTACTGGCGTTTCTTCAGAAATTACTCCAACACTTAAGAATAAATAAACTGATTTTTATGTAGGAAAAAATGGAGGTCTTTACTGCCATGTAAAGTACACCGTGTTGCAATTTCCCCTACAGATTCCTTCGAGTAAACTGTAGCTGCAGAAAAGTGCCTTACAAAGCAAGTGGTTCGTTGTTACAACTTAGCGTGCATGGTAGCTTTGACTGTATCATTCAAACTTGAAAAGGCTTTTCATTTCTCAGACGGGTTTCCAGTGTTTCTACAGAGTCACTTGGAGAGAGAGGGAAGGAGAAGGAAGGGATGTGAGCAGGAGGAATGGGTGGGATGTCTTGAGAGAGCTTGCCTTGCACTTCTGTGACAGTCTTAGTTCTAATCAACGTGGTGGGGAGCTGCAGTTCAACAGAAGCTTGGTCAGTAGGATGTCTCATGGGCATACATAATATTGGTGCCTAACAGCTTTTAGTGTGCATTGTAAAATAAGGACTTTGGAAACTTGTTATCATACTAATTTTATTTCTGACTATATCCTTTTGTACTCGATACCATCACGCTGTTTTCTGTCACCACGTGGTAGCACCACAATCTAGGAGAGCTGATAAAGTTATTCAGGGATCAGATAATTCCTTGCTTCTGTGCTTAAAGCTCTGGTGAAGTGTCTTGTACTCCATCTGACCAGACCTTCTTTGGGTAAGCTGTTATGTAACTCTCCAACCTTAGCTTCCTAGAAACACTGATTTGTTTTCCAGCATTTAATTACCCTGTCGTATAGGGTTATTCAATATCAGCTGGACAAACAGGAACTGTATTTGTTGGTGTTTATAGCTACATCTATTTATACAACTGCAGTAGAGTATAACATGCTGAAGGGGGGAACTTGTCTTCGGGTGGCTCTACGCATGATGATAGATTGACTTAGATCTTCTTTGCAATGACCTTTGAAACTGCTGACAAAGTGCACTTCATTTTGTTGTAAGGGATGTATGGATATTGTAGAGAAACCTTTTATATTTATATCACTCTCTTAACACACAAAGAGCTCTCGTGAACAGGTCATCTGCATCATTTAGAGTTTTAGTGCTTAAAAAAATGACCAGCCTTCTGAAATTTAATTACATAAATTTGCATAAAGCAGGGCTGTTGATTTGTTGTTTTTAATCAAGTTCCAGTGATGGGGCTCTACTGCATGAATAGAATGAAGTGTTTCCAGAGAAGTGGGTGACACTGAATTGCTGTACCTTATCTTAGATAATTTCAGCACTCAGGTTGTTATGTCATACAAGCCCCCTCCAAGATCTTCCAGTACCCATATATGAACGTGACTTAGAGAGCATTAGCTGTCATGACACTTAAATTATAATTAGTCTTAAATATTTTGCTGCTGTATACCCCGGTTGCTTCATGCTGTGTTGTTGTAGCACACTGCAAGTCCTCAAGACCTCCATCAAGGTCTTTATTTGATCAGGAGAGTTGTAATATCACACGCTGCACGTGGCGGTGCAGTAGGTATTGCTGCTTTGTCCCGTGCTACATACAATAACTAAAAGATGTGAATCCTTTTTAATGTTTTTTCCAGGCAACAAGCTATTCCCTCCTGCCCTTTTCAGGCTTTGGGAGAGTGGTTGGTATCCCAGGAGAAACAGTTTGTGTAACTCTTGCTAAAACGTGTACTGTCTGCATAACTTGTCCATGGACAAAGGCTAGTTTTGGCATGCGTACAAGCTACTCTTGTTGGTACTGGCTATTTATTTATTGCAGATCCTCGGTGTTTAAATAAATGCTTGCTTAAATGAGCAGTTTGAATCTAATGATTCACATATGCAGCAGTTGGGGGAATGCGAGCTTCGTGCCCCTGTAATAAGCATGCTTGCATTTCGTAGCACCTTGTAATGCTAAGGGCCTGCTGCGTGCAGCCCTGCAGCCTGCCTTTCCTTCCCAGCTCTGCAGTTTCTTGCTGAAACTGAAAAACCCCTGTGCTGTGTTTGCACCTGATTAGCACGCTTCAACCAGAGCTGCTGGTGTCAGAAAGCAGGCAGCCCAGCAGGGAGCTCGAGCGGCTCCCAAGTGAAAGTTCACAGAAGGAGGGAGAAGGCATGGTGAAAATCATCCCCACCTGCTGTGCTGGAGAGGAGCCCAGAGGAGGATGCTGGTTTGGGGCTGTGCTGCTATCTTCCCAGATGGCCGCTTAGGATAGTTTGCCCTTTCTCTGCTTTGTTCTTCAGTCTCTCTCTTTGGTATTTTTAGGCTTGTTTTCCACCAAAGGTAGCTTTCATCTGTACAGGCAGTACATGCCTTCAGTTGCAAGCTGTACTAATAAAAATCTGCATGTAAACCTGGCTTAACATTGCCTATGTAAAACTGGACCTTCCGCTTACATAAAAATAATGGATGTTTTATTGGACATATCTATTGCCTTGGGTAATTAAGCTGCCATTAGAATCCCAAGTTATGATTCCCTGGCTTTCCCTGGTTGCCCGTGTGTTACTTGAACAACCACTTGCTTCTGCAAAGGAACGACTGTGTCATCTGAGCTGGGTTTGCAGGCTGATTCCATATGCATTAAGGGATTTGCATGAGAAAGATAATGTGGTCTTCAGCAGGTATGTAAAGTAGGGAGGGTCACACATTACTTCTTACTGCAGAAACTTGTCAGGCTAGTGTATAAGTAACAGTAGCTCATGCAAAGCGGCCTCAATATGAGCTTTCTCTGACATTTGAGTATTAGAAATCTTTTACTTCTATCTTTCCAGTATCTCCAACTTAACAATCAAGTTTCTTATGCTAGCTTTCAGTTTTTCAGTCAAAAAGACTAATTTTGGCTTGTCTATGGTTATGAACTGCAAACTATGAAAGCCCTACTGATGTCTTGATTTGCAGAAAAAATAAATGCATGTCAAAATCCAGCCTCAAATTGAAGAATTAGCAAACTTTGTTATAATTTTAACTGTTTTTCTTTTAGCAAGATGCAGATTTTGGGGATCCTTTTTTTGCAATGGACAGAATGATGTCAAATATGAGAAACAGCATGCTGGAGATGCAAAGAAAATTTGTAAGTTTATTTTACATTTATTTTAAAACTGTGTTGGAGAATGAGAGTTGTTTAAAACATTACTCAAAATCTTGCCAAGAAGAAGACTGCAACTTCCTACAACTTGTTACATGCTGTGCATGGGAGATCTGGTCTTAGAGGTTCTGTTCTCCACTAAACTGAGCTGTGTCACAGCAAGCCTGTGAGCAGTTTGGGGAGACCTGTGCCCAGACAGTGCCAGGGCAAGAGTGAGGCCCTGTCTGGTGCTGGGGCTGCTCTCAGCAGCCATAACTGTGGTGCCAGGGCTGAGAGTTAATTTCTCAGAGGGCTCTTTGTTCTCTTGTTGGTAATTGTAGAAGAGGTGCATTATCCACAGACTTTAACTTACTAAAAGAAGCCTACGTTGCTCGCAGGATGACCTGTGTGTCCACCCAGATGCACACACCTTCAGCTCCTCCTCTGTGATGACGTACTCCAAAGTGGGCGATGAACCTCCCAAAGTTTTCCAAGCTGCAGCTCAGACACGCACAGCTCCGGGAGGTGTAAGTAGGCTTGAGATGCAGCAGGAAGGTGGTATGTTGTTATTGCAGATCAAGGTCTTCTATGGTTTCTCTGCTTATTTCTGTAGCAGACAGGTACTCCTATAATTTAGAAAAATAGGTGTCTGTGTGAATACTGCTCTTCAGTAAAGGTGCTTTGTGCAGACGTGCTGTTTTCATCCTTGTCATTTGTACTTCTCTGAAGTATGCATCTACACAAATGGCAGGCCTAGCAAAAGCTGGAAAAACTGAGTGCCAAACTGCTTATTTCTCATGGTGGTCTCCAGTGTTTTCCTCTGCTGTAATTAATTCACCATTTGTGCAGTTAAAAGTGTGTCTACAATAGAAGATAACAAAAGGCAGCCCATTCGTGTAGAGCGTGGCTTCAAATCATACCCTTTCCTCAAGTCCTTCTAAATCTTGTGTTGTTCTTCAGATGAAGATGGCCTTTCATTGACTTCATTGCAGCTGTTGCATCTCATTCTGCTAAGAAATCTGAATTTGAATTTGAACCCCGAAGCAAGGTTCAGGAAAGACTATATGTGAGCAGTAAAGGCCATTGAGCATGCTTGGCTGTGGGATGTGTTCATGCTCAAGCAGACACTCGGTTATCAAAAAGGTTCTAATAATATACTTATGAACACAGAGATAAGTGGTTGCTGGGTCAACGTGCCAGCCTAGCAATTAGTTGTCCCTTCATGCTGAGAGTATTGGCATCAGCTATTATTCATTCTGTTGTCAAGGGGAGTGTTGAAGACGTGTCTGTGTGTAGTATATTTAGACTAGACTTTTTTTCCCAGCAGTTAATATCCAGCATGTGTGCTGCTTATGGAGTTTGGGATGTTTTTGTTTAATCTTTGCTGGCAGGAAGAAAATAGACTTGATCTGAGCTGTCTTTTCTGCCAATAGAAGAAATGAGGGAGTTGGAAAAGTGTGTAACAACTAGCTTTTTCAAAAAAGGAGGAGAAAACTAATATTTTTTATCTTACCTTCTTTTTTTATTGTTGTTTTTCGAAGGTCATTGATTTCTTTTTTTTCTTTTTTTGTACAGGTTAAGGAAACAAGAAAAGCACTGAAGGATTCTGAAAGTGGAGTGGAAAAAATGGCTATTGGTCATCACATCCGTGATCGTGCCCACGTTGTGAAAAAATCAAAGAACAGGAAGACTGGTGATGAAGAAATGAACCAAGAGTTCATCAACTTGGATGAAAGTGTGTCCCTTATGCACTTCCCATGTTGTTACACTGATGGTTCCCATACCAATCTTGAAATTCTAGCTTGAAAACCAATCCCTTTTCTCATGTCTCAGAAAATGCTAAGCCTGCAAATTGGGCTTTTTTTAGTCAATAAAAATCTAATCTGAGGATAAAGTAGCCAGTTAAACTTAAATGGTGTGCTATACAAGAAAACAGTACAGATTATAATATTTATTCATATTTGAAGGTACCTTAAATGATTTATGTTTTTCAACAAGTATTTATCAGAACAGTTCTATTTTCTGTGTGTTATGTGGCTGTCCTGCTTACACTGGTAATAAAAATCATGTATTTAAGAGATGTAAAACCAGATGCCTGTTTTAACCACGCAGCACACTGACTTTCATTGTAATCTTCTGAATTTAAGCCCACCTGTGACAAGCTTTAGTTGTCTCTTGCAGATACCATAGAGATGGTCTGCAGGTTATGTAAAGACTTGCAGGCCACAAGTCTAAAAGAACACTGTTCAAAACCCTGATATTCATTGAATGTTTTTTTTTTTTTTCCTGTCCTGTTTGCATCTATTTCAAATGGAACTTTCCCTCTCTTTCAGATGAGGCTCAGTCTTTTGATGAGGAGTGGCAGAAAGAGATTTCCAAGTTCAAGCCATCGAGAAGCAGGTGCAATTTAGATGCTCCAAGGTACAGCAACATTCAGCACACACATAAAGGAAGATGGACTAGTGGTAAAAATAGTGTTGTATCATGGCAGTGTTAGCAACAGAATAGAAATACAGTTCTGAAGTAACAAGTAATCTGTTGATGAGCAAACAGTGCTTAGTGGCAGTGCAGGGAGGAATAGCATGTTTTACTCCTGCGTTTCTGTGACACTGTAAGGAATAACAAGGCAGTATTTTATGAACTAAACTTTGAAGAAGTCATTATTTTGACTGTGCAAATTACTTTGTGATTGACCAGGCCAAAATGTTAGGAGTGTTTGGTTTTTTCCCTAGAGATGCATGCCAGTGCTCTTAGCTTGATTACACGTAATGTTAATGCTCTCTCCTCTTTGTAGTGTAACTGGATTAGTTGTGTTAAGGTAAAATGCTTATTGAGGGCTAAGTTGATCATTCTCTTTGGTAGAAATGAAGGCACGCTCCTCTCTTCTGAGTTAAATTTCAAATGAGGCCTCTTCTAATCAGAAGAGTTTGCATAGAGGTGTGCACTTTGTTTCTAAACTCAGGACCCAGCTCTGCATAGCTTGCTATCCACCACGCTTCAGATTTTTCCCCCCATCTTACTGACTTCATTTCAGTAGAAGGTGCACTGCCTTTAACAGGTTGCAAAAGGGAAATACTCCTCTTAGGTAACTGACACAGCATGTTTCCTCTGGCACCTTTTCAGTCCTGGAGGTTTACTATACATGTAATTTTACCTTCAAGTTCCTTTTTCAAACTGAGCTGTTTTGTTGTTTTCATCAGCTGTGCAAGAGGAGAAAGCAGTTCAACTCCGTGGTGTAGTTCTGGAGGGAAGGTGAAATCTGTTTTACAAACAGAATAACTAGACCTACACATAAGTAATGAAAAACATGCATACATGTTTATTTCCCTGTCCCTGTATCGTATGGTGGTTGTTATTCTTGTTGTTTTATGTTTCAGAGAGAAACCACTCGCATCTGTGGGCTTCAGGGGACCGAGAGTTTCCATGGAGAACAACCTCAGTGTGAAAGGAACACACGTTCCCATCAAAAGCAGCAAGAAGTAGTCCATTGGGATGCAGTTTGTTCAGAAAAAATGGTGCTGCACTGCTCCTGTTAATATAAGTATACACGTACATGTGACCAATCTGTCTTTTGTTTTAGTGTTAGTTTGCCTTGCTACTCTAATCTTTTGACTACTGAATGTTGTATAAACCTTTGGATCTGAGGTTAAGTCATTTTAAAAGGAAAGACAAGAAGCAAGCAAAAAAAAAAAAAAGTCCTGTCCACTTAGAAGCACTTTAATGGTTTATCACCAATTCTGATGTAAAACATCTGCTTTGGTAGCAAAGTCGTTTTTTCCACCACAGTTGCACCATTCTCAGACTCTTTGTTAACCCCAGTGAAACCACCTTTTCCCCTCCACACTGTATAACTCACACAGAAAGTAAATTCTCCTATTTTGTCACAGTAATTATTGATTGTTTTGGTGACGAAGCAGTCGGTAGGAATTGCAGTACACTGTAGGCACTGCATATACAGATTTAAAATCATATGGTAAATTGGTACAGAATTCCCAAATTCATCTTGATTTTAAAACAAAGAAGAGTGAGAAGAATACTAAAATAGCAAATGCTTCTTTATGTGTTAGTTAATCGACATTGTTATGTTCATAAATGGTGCTCGCATCCCTCGTTCTCTGCCCCTAGGCTGTTATTCTCATATTTCTGATCCTTTGTTTCTTTTGGAGATGGTGCATTATTTTTCATTCCTGAAGGCCATCTGTAGTATTTTTCAATTATCCTGTGATAATACTCAGATGGAACTATTACTTCATTGGAGAAATGGTTCAGCAGACAGCAGTTCAGCTGGATAATGGCTGCACCATTTCTTCTGTTCCAGAAAGCTAAAATATCCCTCTGCACAGGAAGCCATTTTCTGCCTCAGCTGAGGTGAGCTCTGTGATGTTTTCTGCCCTGATTAGTAGAGCTAGAAGGATCCTGAAAGCTAACACTTGGTTTCCCTCAGTACTTCTGTCATTACTGTTTGGTGGAAGAGTCTGGTGTTCATGAGGAAAGCAAACTGTGACTGAGAACTGGAAATGTCTTTGTATTACAAGTGTTGAATTTGTGTGCTGTCAAATTCAGAATTGATCTCATGTCGTAGAGGAAATAATTTCTGTAGGCTGTAGCATATATGCCGTAGTGTAAATGCTATGAACTGAAGGCTAGGACAGCGTAACCTTCAAAAAAGACACTGTTTGTATGATAAAAGAAAAATAGTTTAATATTCATACAGCTAAAAAGGAAATAAGTTTGTCTGAGGAAGTTGTTTAATCTGAGGAATCTATAAAAAAGTGTATTTTATTAACATGCAAAAAAAAAAAACCCAACGAACCTGAAGGGCAGTTGTCACTGCCATGGCAGAAATTTCCCAATGATAAACAACAGAAAACATTACCATGCTGTCACTTAAGCAGAAATCTTTGATTTGAGGGGTGCTTCTAATTCAGAGCATTCATCTGTCCATCATCTGACCACTTACGTTCTTGCCTGTGCTCCTGGGATGGGTGAACATACAGAGAGAACAGCACTGGTTGTGAAATTACATTGGGAAGAGGCAAACGTGATGGATCACTTTGTCATGCACAGCAATGTGAAAATGTTATGCAAGAAATTGTTCTACGTAGGAACACCTGAAACTTTAATTCTTTAATAAAGAGCTATTTATTGTTTATGCTTAGTGTTTGGATTACTGAATGCCCTAACTGATTTGTGCTTTACTTAGTTTAGGGTTTCTTCAGAGCACTCCTCCATATGGCTCAGTAGTGGAGTAGAGGAATGTTTCCAGGAGCAAAGCAGTTACTGCACAGGAAGGAACGTTGCTGTAAGGAAGCAGCCAGGGGTGAGACTGAGGTGTTTTAATTTTCAGAACAGCTCTTGTATCAAGGACTGACACTTCCTGGGGTAATCATAGCACCTACTTTTTCAAATCTTTAAATGCAAAATGTTATACAGCTTCATAGAGAGGTATGAGGGGAGGTTTAGGTTGGATATCAGGAGAAACTTCTTTATAGCAAGGGCTGTTAAGCACTGCAATGGGCTGCCCAGGGAGGTGGTTGAGTCACTGCCCCAGGATGTGTTTAAGAACTGTTTGGATGTGGTGCTCAGGGACATGATTTAGCAGAGGGCTGTTAAGAGTTGGGGTCGTATGGTTAGGTTGTGGTTGGACTTGATGATCTTTAAGGTCTTTTCCAACCTGAGCAATTCCACGATTCCATGATATGAGCAGCAGTGAGTAACCTACCAGCTGTTATTCATGTGCTCTCACTTGGTGCTAAATGAGGGATAACTGCAGAACAACTGCATCAGACCCACCTCCTGGTTTATGTTGGGATGTTTGGATATTGTGGCAATATCTGATCTATCAAATCTAAGAAGTCGGGCAGTGCTGACTTTTTAGAAGGGCAGGTTTCAGCTGAAGCCTTCAACATGCAGCCAGCAGCTGCGTCTGCCCCAGCTGCACCATGGAGATCCGTTTTCCCCCTTGCAGAGCTGTGCCGTGCAGTCGATGTCTGACACGATCTCGCCTTGTTGCTGTGACCGCGCGTTCGGCAGTGCAGGCGTTGTGCTTTGTAAAACCCGCCGCTCCTCCCTTTATTTACAGCACTGCTGCTGCGCAGCGCCATCACAGCCGCGCTCCGTTCATTCCGCCCCATTCTTCGAGCTCCGCGTTGGCGCGGCGCACCCCCACTTCCGGTCGGGGCTCACTTCCGGTCTGACCCCGCATGCGCGGTGACCCCGGAAGCGGCGTCCCGACCTTGCGGGGCGGTAGGGAGCGGCCATGCTGCGGGCGGTGCGGGCGGCGCGGTGCCGCGGGCGGCGGCAGGTAGCGGCAGGTAGCGGGTGGTGCCGTGCGTGGGGCGGCGGCGGGGCACGGCGTGAAGGCAACTCGGGCACGGCGGGCCGGGAGGGAGGAACCCGCCTGCGGGGCCTCCTGAGGGCTCGCTGAGGTGGGCGGGAGAGACTTCGCGGTGTGAACGGGGAGCGAGAGAAGGGGAAGGCCGGGCGGCGGGCTTGGGGGGGGCAGAAGGGGAGGGGCTCCACAGCGAACCGGCTTTCTCCGCTCAGTTCCTCCTCAATGCCTGCCGGCGCTGCTCCTCGGCCGTCCTTCCCAACGAGCGGATCCGCAACATCGGCATCTCGGCACACATCGACTCGGGGAAGACCACGCTGACCGAGCGTGTCCTCTTCTACACCGGCAGGATCGCGCAGATGCACGAGGTGGGCGTCGCTGGGATCCCCGGACCTCCTTCTATGTGGGGAAGGGCTCCCTTACCATGGGGTGGTGCGGTCTCCTTCTGTGCAGATACAGGAACCCACCTGTGTGCTTTCATGCTGCATTAGAGGGTTGGGCTGGGGATGCTCAGAGGTCCCTTCCATCCCCTAGTTCTGTGCTCGTGTCTCTGGTAAATATGCTGCAGGAGGTGTGAGCTGCTTCTGATTCAGCAGAAGGCAGTTGTGAGAAACAGAGAGAATCCAGGGATGTATTTCTGAGTCCAGGTACATTAGCTTATGGAGTTCACAGCAAAGTATAATTGGCTGCCAATTGTTGATGATCTCTTTTGTGACTGATTCTCGGGGGAGCAAAGGACGTTAAAGGATAGGATCAGAGAACTGTTAAGGTTAGGAAAGGCCCCTAGGGCCATCTAGTTCCACCATCAGAGTAAATGACGCTACAAAAAAATCAGGTTTGTTTGCATTTCAAGAGCTGTAAGCGATTCTCTAATGTCTCCTTTTCATCGCTGCCAGAAAGATGATATTCACCAGATGAAGCATCACCCATAGCAGATTCGCAGTAAACTCTCTTGGACTGAAGTTTTTTTCTTTTTTTTTGCTAAGGTGAGAGGTAAGGATGGAGTCGGAGCTGTCATGGATTCAATGGAGCTCGAACGACAGCGTGGAATCACCATCCAGTCTGCGGCCACGTACACCATGTGGAAGGACACCAACATCAACATCATAGACACGCCAGGTAGCAGCAGCTCTGATGCTGTGAGGCTGCCATTCCTTTGTGTGAATGGGGAGCGTGGTGCCCTCACTGTGCTGCTGAGGGGCTGATGCTGTGCCACTGTGATGTGTTCCTTATGGCTGGAGATTGATTGCACTGCCACTGCAGCCACGAGGGAACAATTACTTGTTGTTCTTTATCATCTATGAATAACTTTTGTGTTCTTATTGTTACTTAGGGCACGTGGACTTCACCATTGAAGTGGAGAGATCTCTGAGGGTTCTCGATGGAGCTATTCTGGTTCTCTGTGCTGTGGGAGGAGTTCAGTGCCAGACCATAACTGTGAACAGGCAAATGAAACGTTACAATGTGCCGTTTTTAACATTCATCAATAAGCTGGACAGGATGGGCTCCAGTCCATCCAGAGCAGTGCAACAAATGAGGTATTTATCACTTCAACTTACCTGTCAGCTAGTTCTGAACAGTTCATGTAGCAGATTAATGCTGATAATATTGAAAAATGTTCTCTTTTGGAGTTTGTGGGTGCATTTTGGGAGGTAATGCATGACTATGGGTTAAATCTTACTCTGACCTACGAAGACTCTCCCTTTTGTCAAAAAAAAGGGAGTGAAACAGTAATTAGCATCAGCCTAGACTTACAGTGTCTCAGTGTTGGCTTCTTGATTTTGATGCTGGAACTGTATGTGGAGCCACTTCAAAACCAGCCTTTTGATTTTTCCTGAATGCTGGTGGCAGATGCGCTGAAGTTCACAGCAGGGCCACGACTCGAGGTTGGCAGTTTCTGGTTCACCTACCTGGAGCCCCACCTGTATGTGCCACCTTCCTGTGCCTAATCTCATCCGTGAGACATGTATGATAATAGTCAATAAGGGAGAAGGAACTCCCATCAAGTAATTGATCTGAAAGTAGGTTGCACTGCCGTTTGTTTCCCATGGAAGTTGCTCGCTCTCGGTTGGAATATAGAAGTCTGGCAGTCACTCAGGTTAAAATGCAAGCAGGCATTTGTCATCATAACAAAGTATGATGCTGTATAAGAATAGGATCTTGCTTAAAAAAACATCACAGAATCACAGAATTGTAGGGGTTGGAAGGGACCTCCAGAGATCATCGAGTCCAACCCCCATCTGGGACACATGTATGGAAATGACTTTTTTTTTCTTAATCAATGTTTGCTCAATTTTTCAGGTCCAAGTTAAAACACAATGCAGCTTTTGTCCAGATTCCAATGGGGCTGGAAGGAAACTTTAAAGGAGTTATAGATCTAATAGAAGAAAGAGCTATATATTTTGATGGCACGTTTGGGTAAGGTTTAAAACTTGTGTGCTTCTTCTACTGAAGTTACTCTTTGCATTGGTAATGGCACCAAGGGAAACCATAGCTTTCCTTCAGAGATGAAGCAGCCTGCTGTTGTGAAGGTTAGGGATGCAGCTTGTGGTAGGGCTGAGGTGTGTCTCTCTGGCACAGTGGTGGTGCAGTCAGGTTTAGTGAGTGGTGGCTGTAGCAGGAATGGTTCTGTGGCTGCGGTGGGTGGTGGCAGTCCTCAGCACACGGGGAGCTGGGAGACCTGCTGCACAGCGGGACCTGACAGCTTGCGTTTGGCCTGAGCTTCCTGGGATGATGATACAGCGTGGTGCAGCTGAACAGCTTACCCTGCAACCTCACAAACTCCAACCGTGAGCAGGAAGAACCCTTGCCTGCTAGGCGTGAGAAACAGCAATTTGATATTCTTGCATACTTTTTTGTACATCCGTATCACCAGTGAGTTTTTCTTGGTCAGGCCAGTCATCACAATGACTGGTGACTGGGAGGCTGATCCGTGTGCTGTTCCTTCAGAGCCCTTATGTTTGTGTGTTTAGCCAGACGGTTCGCTACGATGAAATTCCAGCTGAGTTTAGAGCTGAGGCTGCAGAACGGCGCTCAGAACTGATTGAATGTGTTGCTAATTCAGATGATCGCCTTGGGGAGCTGTTTTTGGAAGAGAAGATCCCTACAGTTGCTGATATAAAGGTAACTTTATGTATTTCTTCTTAATGTAGCACCACTCTTTCTCTTCTGAAAGTGCTTTTTCTTTGCTCGAGTTCTGTAGAATGGTTCACCTCCTGCAGGTGGTTCCCATTGGGTACTCATTTCAGATTTGGTTTATGATTGGAAAATCAAGTCAGTGGATGGGATTGCAGTCTCTCCTCCAAGGATGATAGATGACTGTGATGTTAGCTTTAGTTGGGACAGACAGACGGTGCTGTGAGAGCGAGGTAGCCTGAGGACACTCACCTCACAGCAGTGCTCTGCAAGCTGGCATTGACCATCAAGACCCATGCAGCAGGTGAAAAGCCAAGTCCGTGTGCAGCTGCTGACACACAGTGAGCTGTTGGGCTTTGTGCTGTGACAGCTGGCAGCATGAGGGAGGGCTGTCTGCTTTGTAGGCATGACTCCAGCTTGTTTTTCTCCTGTTAGTTGCTTTATGGCCGTACGGGGCTGTGAGGCACTGGCACAGGCTGCTCAGAGAGCTGGAGGTGCTCAGAGGCAAGCTGGAGGGGGTACTGAGCAACTTGGGGCAGCCAGCCCATGGCTGAGGGGTTGGAATTAGATAATTTTTGAGGTCTCTTCCAACCCCGTGCCATTCTGTGGTTCTGTATGGATTCCTTACGCCTGGTGCAAGTATTTCTGAGGTCTGGTTTGCTATTTGCCAACACCTCTTGCTACTG